TTTTTTTTTTTTTTTTTTTTCTTGTTTTCAACTATTTGGTAAAAATCAAATATGAGAATGGTATATGCCATTCTTAGCTTATGGACCCTTTAGAAAAGGCAGCAGGCCAATCTGGCCTATGGGCTATAGTTTGCTCATCTCTGATTTAGATTACTGACCAAAAGCTCTTAATGCTTTTCCAAAGGATTTCAGAAGAATCAGAATGATCCTAGGGCTTTAACGTTAGCTGTCCACTTCCAAGCAGATCTCTTAAAAGTGCTGAGAAGTCTCTAAATTGAAGTACATAAGTTACAAGAGTCAAGCAAAGCTGGTGTGGCCCTGTTTTGCTCTGGGCTCTGCGGGTGTCCCTCTTCTCTCTGTGAAACACTTGCGGGATAAGGATGGTAGGTTGGTGATAGCATCTGGGTTGGAAACAATGAGAACAGTCACAAAATGACAACTATTAAGCGTAGTCAAGACAGTGTAGTGAATAAACTACATTGAAAGCTAATCCAATGGACCCTTGTTACGCTTGAAATGTATACAAATCATAAGCATAAATGCTTCTCCATACATACAGCTGATTCAGGCTTCTTGACGATTTTTCACTATCACTTCTATAAAGTCATCATCTTGAAACAGGAGTGTCTTATTTCTTTTCCATTCTTAGCACACAGCAAAAGAGATCTCCTGGCCCATGTTTCCCACAGTGGACACAGATCCACTCCAATAAATTAAACTTCTCCTCTCATGACTCACTTGAAAGAAACAAGTCTCCATACCAATGACTAAGCCCAACCACATTATTGCTACGCCAAGAAAACCACCTCTAGTGTGTTTTTGTCCTAATAAACCTTGAGGAAATTGTGAGCTTCTCCTCACATGCACGTCACAAAGCAGTGGAGAGGAGAGGGCAGAGAGGCTCACACTTTTGTCAACAGTCGCCGTCAAGTGGGCTCTGACTCACGGCAGCCCCGTGGCCGACAGAACAAAAGGCTGCCTGGTCCGGCATCATCTTCAAGGTCATGTCTGCTCGAGTCCATTGTTGTAGCAGCTATGTATTTTGGGTGCTTTTCCATCTAGGGGGGCTCATCTTTCAATACTATGTTGTTGTTTTTATTAGGTGCCATCAAGTTGGCTCTGACTCTTAGCGGCCCTGTGTATAACAGAATGAAACACTGCACCATCCTCACAATCCTTGCTATACCTGAGCCCATTGTTGCAGCCACCATGCCAATCCATCTTGTCCGGGGTCTTCCCCTTTTTTGCTGACCCTCCACCTTACCAAGCATAATATCCTTCTCCAGGGAATGGTCCCTTCTGACAACATGACCAAAGTAGGTGGAGGCCGTTCTCGCTTCCAAGGAGTATTCTGGCCGCACTTCTACCAGGACAGATCTGTTTGTTGTTCTGGCAGTCCATGGTACTTTCGGGATTGTTTGCCAACAGCACAACTAAAAAGCATCAACTCTTTTTTGCTCTTCTTTATTCATTGTCCAGCTTTCACACCCATATGAGGCAATTGAAAATACCATGACTTGTGTTAGGTGCATCTTAGTCTTCAAAGAGACTTTTATATCAATCACTATTCTTGTGACCCTTAAGGTTTTCATTGGCTAATTTTCAGAAGTAGATCACCAGGCCTTTCTTCCTCGTCTGTCTTACTAGTCTGGAAGTTTCCTTGAAACCTGCCCATCAGGGGTGACCCTGCTGGTATTTGAACTACTGGTGGCATAGCTTCCAGCTTCAAAGCAACATGCAAGCCACTACAGTCTGACAAACTGACAGGTGGTAGACTATAGTAAAAAAAAAATAATAATAATTATATATTTTACCCTAACGTGTTTAAAAGAACATTTCTTCCATGGACACATCATTGAAGTTAGAGAGGACTTAGCTGCAGTCTAATTCTGGAATGGGCCAGAAGTCTTCCCCAGTAATCTTGTAATTTCTAAGCAGGCTTTGGTCTGTATGAGTGACTTAGAGATGAACAGACTCAGTATACATTATAAGAGTATCGGCATTTACTAAATGCTCGACCCTGTATTCACAGATAACATTGCCCTTGACTCAGGAAGCTCAACCTTGTTGGCTGTGGCAACCTCGCTTCACCTTTTGCTCAAATATCTGCTGAACTGGGTAAAATTGCTTTTTGATCTAATGGAAGTTGCAAAAAGTATAGTTATTAACTACATGTCATTATTGACATTTTATTTTTTGGGGGGTTGGGGCCTCAGTTTAAAGGTTCTCTTTTTTTATTTTTGGCCACCCAACAGTAGCTTTGAATATCCTTATGTGTCACTAACCCTAGCCTTCCCTCACCTGGGGTACCCCATTGGGTAGGGCTCAGCATTCATCGGCTTGCTGTTTTTGCTGCTGTAGCTTGTCAGCCCAGAGCTCAGGATGATTTTAAACTAGACCATCCAGCAATTCTGTTGGCAACAATTTGTTTTGCCCACCTTGGGTTTCTCCCACAAGAACAAGTGGGTTGTATGAGATGCTAAGATCACTGCTCTGCTTACAAAACAACAAACGAAACCTTAGTCACATACACGTTCTCCCTAAGGAGATCGAGGTTGTTTTATTGCTAGCATGATCCCTACACTTTATTGGTACAGGGTAGGAGAACATGAGAAAAAAAGAATGAATGATTCTTGGATGACTCCGATGGCACCAGGCTGGGCAGCTCCCAGCCTCTGCGAGTCTCTGGGTTCCAGGCAGCTGGACTCAGATGAGAAAACATTCACTCCTCACACCTACCAAAGGCATGTCTGGAGAGTTGGGTGGAAGTGAAGAGTCTGTGTGCCCTGTGTCTATCAAACAGGTACCTTTGGCTGGGCTTAGAAAGATGAGTAGGCAGGCCGGCTCTGGGAGCTGGAGGGGTGGCAGTCCCTCATAAGATGAGAAAGCAAGACTGCGCATGTTACAGAGCCTCTTCAGCCTTGTGTGTGTCCTCCCCAGTCGTAAGTGAGAGCCCTCACCCCCATCTCTAGGTACAGGGCTCATGATGTCGGTGCTGACCTGATCATGTCTGGTGGGTGGGGCTTAGCAGCATTTCAGGTAGGACATGGAGACAGTAGAGTGAATCCAAGGAAAGTGATCAGAATGAAGAGGGATTTGGAAACAATACTAGAGGCAGAGAGCAGCCCAGTGACAGAGAGCCGGGCCCTGGAGCAGGCAGTCATGGTCAATTCCTGACTCTGTCCCTTTCTAACAGTGTGACCTTGAGCAAATAATCTAACCTTCCAAGCCTCTGTTTCCACATTTGTACAATAGGCCAACTTGTGTTCTGTGAAAATGCAATGGAATAATATTACGTGTGCTGTGTGCACACCTATGTTTTATTATTTTATAATGTTTTTATCTTATGAGAAATATGGAAGAAGCTAGGAGCTCTGGTGGCATAGTGCCTAAGGCATTTGACTGCTAACCAGAAGGCTGGCTCAAACCCACCAGCCACTCCTTGGAAGGAAGGTTGGGCAGTCTACTTCCATAGAGATGCTGCCTCAGAAACCCAAGGAGGGGTTGCTATGATTCGAATTAGACTCCACAGCAGTGAGTTTGGTTTTTTTTTTTTTTTTAAATGGAAGAGGCTGGGACTGCTTAGTCTGGGAAGGAGAAGATTATAGAAGGACATGATAGCTGTCTTCAGATATTTAAAGGATTATCATGTAACAGAAAACAAACTTATTTTCAGCATGAAGGTAAAATGACTTAAAACATGGACTTCACAGGAAGGCAGATTTCACATCAATAAAATAATGTTTATGATAAAGATGCTTAAGCACAAACCAGGCTGTCTTGTCCAGAACGGGGTTCCCTGTCAGAAGCCTTGCTAGACAGAGAGGCTGGGTGGTGCAGCACCTAGGAGCTCATGGGAAAGGCCTGCTTATGGTGTGTGGGATGTTGGTTGGATAGAAGTCCTCAGGCCTCCTCCATCTCTAAGATGCCAAGGGCAAAGTTCATTGAACTCTTGAGAGAACTCATGAAACCAAAAGCTGCACAGAACAAAAGCAGACAGGGAAAAAGAAATAATAAAAATGGATCTCTTGGGTATGAAAAGGCAAATTCCTTTGGTTAGTGAAGATTATGGTCAGCAGCTTACTCATAAGTGATTGGTTTGTCCTTTGAGTCCTAGGAATTGTTGACCATGTGCAACCGTCAGAATTTTTTTTTTTTTTTTTTTCTGTTGTGATTTGGGTGAAAATCTACAGAGCAAATTCATTTCCCATTCAACTGTCCATACACATTTTGTTTTCATGGCATTGACTGCAATCCCCATAATATAACAGCTCCCTTCCTGCTTCCTCCCTGTGGTTAGCTTTTCCCTGTGTCCTTCTTTCCTGTGCATCCCTCTGAGCTATCTATCTCCCTGTGCAAATGCCACCCTTCAGATTTCCCATGGTTGATTATTCTAAAGAGTGTCCGTCCCTGGTGTAATCGTTCACCATGTAGGCATAAGAATTGTTTGTGAAGCATTCTTTCAACTGTATCCTGTCTTCATTCCCTTCTCTTAGGTGAACGGCCCTTTCCCTGCACTTGGCCAGACTGCCTTAAAAAGTTCTCCCGCTCAGATGAGCTGACCCGCCACTACCGGACCCACACTGGGGAAAAGCAGTTCCGCTGCCCGCTCTGTGAGAAGCGTTTCATGAGGAGTGACCACCTCACAAAGCACGCCCGGCGTCACACCGAGTTCCACCCCAGTATGATCAAGCGGTCGAAAAAGGCACTGGCCAACCCCTTGTGAGGTGCTACCCACGGATGTCAGGGAGAGATGGACCCCGAAAAGACACAATTATTCCCCGGAAACAGACAGACACATGGAAACTAAGGCCCGGAAGAGGCGCACTGATGCACAGGAAGTCACTGCTCTTTGGTCAAGACTGATTTTCCTCTCCCTGCGTTGTTTTTAAAAGCACATTGTAGCCTAAGATCAAAGTCAACACTTGGTCCCCTTGCAGAGGCAACTATCTGAACCCGTCTCTGACTGTTGAAGGGAAGGCAAATGCTTTTTTTTTTCCTTTTCTTTTCTTTATTTTCTTGGGGAGGGTGGGGGGTGGGGGGAGTGGGACACAGCCAAGACTGGGGTAGGATATTAAAGATTCAACACTGGTGTACATATGTCTGACTGGGTAAGTTGACCTGTGGTTCTCACACAGTGATTCTGGGCCCTTTATGCTTGCTGTCTCTCTGAATTTTTTTCTTACCTTTTGATGTAATGACGAGTGTGCTTCAGTTTCCTTAGCAAAACCACTCTCTTAAGTCACATTAACTTTTGAGATTAAAAAAATGCCATAGCACAGCTGTCTTTATGCAAGCAAGAGCACATCTACTCCAGCATGATCTGTCATCTAAAGACTTGAAAACAAAAAAAGTTACTTATAGTCCATGGGTATGCAGAGTCTGAATTTATACTAATCAAGACAAACCTTTGACAGGTTACACTAAGAGAACTTTTAAACCTTGCTTTGTATGAATTGTACTTTTTGAACATAAGCTGCACTTTTGTTTTCTAATGCAGAGGATGAATAAGTTAAATACATGCTTTAAGGATAAAAACAGCCATTCTGTTTGGTACCATGTTATAATCTGCTTATTTCTACAGTATAGAGGTTTCCCTGGGAAATGATGGCAGAGATGTAAGGGCAGAATACATATAGCAGACGCTGAAGGAGAAGGAGGTAGTGTTTAAAAACAACAACAAACAGACTTTTAACTCTATTAACTTTTCCAAATTTTCCGATTCTTTCAGTTAACTTGATCTTATTGTACCACCATAAACCCTGTCCTAAAAGACAGAGCTTTTTTTCTGCCGGGTTTTATTTGAATAGGTGCATAATAGGAACTAGCTCTGGAAATAACTATTTTTGGGGAAAAGGTTTGCTGGTCTCCTTTCCATGATCCTACAGAACTTCTACTAACAGGTGCAAGAGTTATGCAAAAGGAAAGGGAGCTGAAATGTGACAAGGAAAGGATACTCCATAGCAGTGAATGCCAGTGGCGGATACCACAGTGATTTCACAGGACACTTGACATAATAGTCCCTTTGGGAGAACATAGATGGAATATGAGTGAATGAAAACACATCCCGTACCTGTGACATCAGAAGCCTCACCACTATATATCTTGTATCTAGGTGTCTACAGTGGCCTGAACCACTACATCCATAATATGCCATTTACTTGAAAACTTAGTTCTGGCCTTTATGTGGCCTGGAAAATGAACTGAGTTTTCATAGTGAAGAAGAAACCTCAAATGAGGGGAGTCAGCAGTGATCGTGGGGAAATGTTTACATTTTTTTTTTTTTCTTCAGAAATAATGCTTTCTGGCAGTTTTATCTGATATTTAAAACAGGGAGCTGCGATGCACTCTAGTTTATACATGTGCTATAAAATGTGTTGTGTAAATTAGGGTGCCTACCTATAGGTGGACTCGTTATTTCACCTGACAAGTGCTCGTTTCAGAATCGGTGTGGGCTCCTGGAACAGGCACAGGTCACGGCTGACTCCAACTTCCAATGCAACAGCCATCACTAGCACGGTATTTTTTATTTTTAACCAATGTAGTTGTATTAATGGTTCTATGAAGAACTGCTTTTAACATTAGGGACTGGGAACAGTCCAGGGGATAAAAAAGGAAAGTGTTTTCTCACGGGAGAACATGTCAGGAAAATAAAGAACACTTTCTACCTCTGTTTCAGATTTTTGAAACACTTATTTTAAACCAAATTTTAATTTCTGTGTCCAAAATAAGTTTTAAGGACATCTGTTCTTCCATACGAAATAGGTAGGCTGCCTATTTCTTATTGAACTCATGGAATGGTTCTGCTTATGGTACTCTGCACGCTGCCTTTTAGTGAGTGAGGAGTTTGGGGTTGCCTAGCAACTCACTAACTTGTGAAAACTCATCTTTCCCTCACAGAGAAAAAAAAAAAGAAAAACAAAGAAAACTCAGTGAAAGACAATCTCTACAGTTTCAGGAGTAAATCTATAGATGGCTTTTGTCAAGCACTTGGATATAAATGCAGCAACTTGTTTAAAAAAAAATGCACAATTTATTTCCCAAAAAAAAGTTGCTACTTGCCTTTTCACGTTGTTAAAAAACACACATTTGATATTCTCTTATATGTTATAGTAACGTAACGTATAAACTCAAGGCTTTTTATTCTTTGTGATAAATCCTGTTTTAAAATGTCACAGAACAGGAACCAGCATTCTAATTAGATTTACTCTATCAAGATATGGTTCAAATAGAACTTTTAGAGTTCATTGAACACAAAAGCTATGGAACAATTACTTTTTATATTAAAAAGACCATGGATTTAACTTATACAAATCCAGATGCAAGATAGTAATTTTTGTTTACTTTTTTAACCAAACTGAATTTTTGAAAGATTGTTGCAGGTGTTGACAAAGAAAGAAACATTGTTTTATCTAATACTGTAAGTAGTTGTCATATTCTGGAAAATTTAATAGTTTTAGAGTTAAGATAACTCCTCTCCTTGGTTAGGGAAGAAGAAAGCCCTTCACCATTGTGGAATGATGCTCTGGCTTTAAGGTCTAGCTCTACATCTTGCTTCTTTTCAGAATTACATTTGGTAGTTACACTTACAGAAACCAGTTAGTTGTCAGTTTGCAGATAGGTTTAGCACAGCTCTCATCACTCTGTGTAGATTGAGATGTTCTTCCACAACACACGAATGATCTGTAACACTGTAAGATACTGATCTTGACAACTGTTTAATCAGTTTTATTTTTGTACAGTACTAGTGACCTAAGTTATTTTGCTGTCCCGTTTTTGTAAATCAAATGAAATTATAAAAGAGGATTCTGACAGAAGGTATTTTGTACATATGTATATAAGTTGTCCAAATAAACATAATAAATGATAAAGATGGAATTGTGCCAGCCATTATGTGGGGTAAAAGGGGTGAATTTTACCATAACGCAAGTTGTTACTTTAACCTGAGTTCACAGGATTTTTATGATCAGCTCAAAGATGATTTTATTCTGTGCCTTTTACCTTGTGCAATATTTGAGTAGACCTGTATGTATTTATTACCCATGGACCTTTGAAGAAATTGGTGCCATGGAGGGCAATTGAAACCACTGTGTTATGCTGGAGGGGAATAATTGTATTTTCAGGGAAATCACAAGAAGAATTTTACAAAGCTCATAATGGGAACAGTGGGAGCTGCTCAGAGAATGTGAGAGACTCAGATTTTGCTCTTGATGTTGATAAGGACACACAGGCTGAGATCTCAAAGGCAAAGCAATAGAAACATTAAGTCAAGTGAAGATGGACATCAAAACGTATGTGTATATATGTAATTTATGTAGATAAATAGCGGCTTGTTTCCTGCTGTTGAGTCGACCCTTGACTGATAGCAACCCTGTGTGTTACAGAAGTACTAACTCACTCAAACTCACTCACTGCCATCGGGTCAGATCTGATTCATAACGATCCCTCCTTGGGTTTCCGAGGCAGTATCACTGCAGAGGTAGATTGCCCAACCTTCCTTCCGAGGAGTGGCTGGTGGGTTTGAACCGCCAGCCTTCTGGTTAGCAGTCAGATGCCTTAGGCACTATACCACCAGTGCTCCCAAAGTACTAACTATCTATTATTTATTAAGCTCTGAGGAGCCCTGATGATGCAGTGTTTAAAGTGCTCAGCTGCAATCCAAAATGTTGGCAGTTCAAACCCACCAGCCACTCCATGGTGGAAAGATGTGTCAGTCACAACCTTGGAAATCTTACGGGGCAGTTCTGCTCTGTTTGATAGATTTGCTGTGAGTTAGAACTGACTCAATGGCAGTGGGTTTGGTTTTTTGGGGATTTGACATTCATTTGACAAATTTTGTCAAGCACTTGTTAGTGCCAGGTCCTGTTGTCACTGAAGATGCAGAGGTGGAAAAAACAAAACAAAAACAGACAAGAACCCTGCATTCAAGGAGTTTATATGTTAGTAGGGAGAAGCACGGTAAATAAGTTAAGGAATAATCCATATAATTTCGGATATTGATAAGTATTATGATAAAACAGGGTGAATTGAAAATGATCTGCAGAGATGTGGAGAGGCTACTTCAGATTGAGTTGTCAGGGAAGGTCTTCCCAAGGGAATTTAAACATTTAAACTGAGACCCGACTGACAAGCAGGAAAGATGCCAAGGAGGTGGGAGCAGCAAATACGAGAAGTATGGTAGGAATGAGATCAGCATTTCGGAGGAATTGCAGGAAGGCTGGGTGCCTGGAATGCAAACAACAGAGAGGATGAGAAGAGATGGGAAATGGAATGGTTTCCAGGGGCCAAAGCACAAGAGACTTGTATTGTAGGTTATGACACAGGGAAGCCACTGGGCTTACAGCAGAGGAATGAAATAAGATTTCATTTTAATGAGTTCCTCCTGGATTCTGTGAGGAAAATGGATTTTAGAGGGGCAAAAATGGAAGCTGGGAGACTACCTCGAAAACTATTGTATTTGTCCAGGCAGGAGATGATGGTCACTTGCACCTGGGTGTTTGAAGTGGAAATGGAGAAAAGTGAGTAATTTCAAGAAATAGTTCAGAGGCAGAATGACTTGGACCTGGTGATGACAGGACGTGAAGGGTAAAGGTTTAAAGGTCCGGCAGTGATCGTCAAGTTTACGGCTTGAGCAACCTAGTCAATGTTGAAGCAGTCTAGTGCGGTAAAGTGGTCCTTGCGCTGGGCAAATGGTTAAGCACTCAACTACTAACTGAAACGTTGGCAGTTTGGACCCCCTCAGGGGCATCTCAGAAGAAATGCCTAGTGATCTGTTTCGGAAGGTCACAGCTTTGAGAACTCTCTGGAGTACCGTTGTACCCTGCATGCAGTCACCGTGAGTGGGACAGATTCAATGGCAACTAGTTGGTTGTTACTTTTGTTGTGTTGTTTTTTCCTTTTCTTTTATTGGTAAGTGAAGGAAAAAGAATTGGCCTGAATGAAAACCAAAACCCCCCACTGCCACTGAGTTGATTCCATCTCATAGCAACCCCCAAAGGGCTGTAAATCTTTACGGAAACAGATCGCCTCATCTTTCTTCCACAGAGCAGCTGGTGGGTTCAGACCACCGACCTTTTTGGTCAGCAGCTGAATGCTTTAACCACTACACTACCAGAGCTCTTTGGCCAGAGTGAAAAATCATGAATTCATCTCTGGACATATTGAGGTGCCTGTCAGACATCTCATGGGAATTCAAGAGAATGACTGTTTGTATTAGCTTGAAGCTCAAAGGAAGTGGTCTGGCCTGAAGATTTGGAAGTTCTAGTCTTATTTGAAAGGAACCCTGTGGGTGCAATGGCTAAGTGCTTGCTTGCCAATGGAAAGGTCAGCAGATCAAACCCACTAGCTGCTCTGCAGGAGAAATGACCTGACAACTCGCTCCCCTAAAGACCACACCCTGGAAAACCCGATGGGGGCAATTCTACTCTGATCTATAGGGTTGCCGTAGAGTTGCTATGAGTCAGAATCAACAGCACACAACAATAAGTCATATTTGATAATAACTGAAGCTACAGAAGTGGATGAGATCACTTGGGGAGGAAATTAGAGCTTAGAACAGGAGAAGGAAGGGGAGACAAAGGTAGATTAGGATAAACAAAACAAGGCAATTTAAAATACTGCAAGGTCATAGAATTAAGGGGAAAGTGACCAATTGTGTTGAATTCCACCGAAGGGTGTAGCAAGATGAGTGCTGAAAAGTGTCTGGTGTAAGTAGGAATCCGAGGTTATTGGTGATTTATTCAGAGCCATTTAATTAAAATGGTGGAAATGGGCATCTGACTGAGGTAGGTGAGGAGTGTATGGGAGATGAAGAATCATAGATAGGAGGTAGAGTCAATTCTTGCATAGTTTGGCAAGCAACAAAAACAAAAAGGTTTGATCAGTACATAGAAAAGAAAGGAGAAAGAAAAACTAAGGTAAAATAAGAAAAAAGAAAACCCATGTTGCTTCTAAAAAAAAAAAACACCCAAACCCATTGCCATCAGACGCCCAGCTCCCGCAGAGCAGCTGCTGGTGGGATTGAACCACAGACCTTTCAGTTAGCAGCTGAGTGCTTTCAACACTGCATCACCAGGGCTCCTATGTGTCACTTAAACTTCATGAAAAGATTCTCAGTTTGGATCAAAGATAAAATGGTGTGTATGTGTGTTGTGTGCACTGTTGTTACGTTGTTATGTGCCGTCGAGTCAAACCTGACTCATAGCGACCCCTCCTTGGGTTTCCGAGGCAGTATCACTACGGAAGTAGATTGCCCAACCTTCCTTCTGAGGAGTGGCTGGTGGGTTTGAACCGCCAGCCTTCTGGTTAGCAGTCAAGTGCCTTAGGCACTATGCTACCAGAGCTCCTAACAAAATTATTAGTGAGGATAAATTAGACAAAGGCCAACAAAAATAATTTATGAGTAATCATATCGACATCAGGAAAGAATAGAATCTAAGGAAAAAGTAATTAGGTCAAAGAGGGGATTACTTTATATCACCATATTTCATATGCAGATATAATAGTGCTTAGTAACATTTCATAAAAATATGTTAAGCAAATGAGACATTGATTTTAAAAAAAGTCAGTCTTACTGAAAAAAAAGGTTTTAATAATACACATATTCTTTTTAAGTGTCCAAAGCTTTTCAAACTGTACAAAAATATAGACTATAATAGACTTAAATTATGCCATTGAGACCACTAGGCAGTAAAGTAATTAGTAACAAAAGGATAGTTATGACCAAAAAAACAAAACCCCTAAATTAAAATGCAGTCTTAGCTCTTGGATCAAAGAAAAAATAAAAATTTTAGTCAGAGTTTGTGTGTCAACTTGAAGGGGCCTGGTTGAGTGGCTGGGCAGATGGGTGTAGTATTCCCCATGATGAGACTGGTAATCAACTCTGTGGTGGAATCTATTGTGAGCAGCTGAGTAACTGCCTTTGGGTATGTGGTCTGCTTCCCGTATATAAGAAACAGCTTTGGGAATAGTCTCTAGCTTATGGCACGCTTGGACCCTACATGTAGTTGTGTCGTTGGTCAGCAGCCTGCCATGCTCTGCTGACCTCGGGACTTACAATGGACTTGAATTAATGGCTAGCTGTGTGGCTTGGTAACATCAGGACTGTGCCATTTTGTTTGTCGACCTTGGGCTTGTTAGCCTCAGCAGCCAGTAGCTGTCTGAGTGAAGATACTCCTCTAGCTTCAGTGGGCTGGAAGCAAGAGGCAGAGTTGAAGCCCAAGGTCAAGGGGCTTTTACCCAGCCCCTAGAGCCTGGACTTTGAACTTGGACTTAAAGCTTCAAAATTGTTAAGGCCATCCCATTTGTGGTATAGTCCTGTCAGAGTGGCACTTGGTAACCAAAACAGAGTTTAAGACAATAAAAATAGAGAAATCTCTATGTCCAAAACATACCCAAAAGCTGTATTCAGAGCCTTTTTTGCTTTTATTATCCATGAACAGAGTAAAATAAGCTGAGCAATTGATTCAATAGGACAGAAAACAAACAGTATCTACAAAAAGTCTGAAAGAAGAAACTTAAAAATATAAACTAATGAATTCAAAGTTGACTAAGAGTGAGACTGATTTATTAACCCAAGAGGTAGATCTCTGAAAAGACAAAATAGATATACTTTTGTGCCCATCAACAGATGAATGGATAACCAAACAATGATTCAGACACACCATGGACTAACATGCACCATTAAAGAGTAATGAAGAATCTGTGAATCACCTCGTAATGTGGGTGATCTTGGAGGATATTATGCTGAGTGAAATAAGTCAATCACCAAAGGACAAATACCATATGAGTCCATTATTACAAAAAGTCAAGATAAGGTTTATGCAGGGAAGGAAAGTTACTTTGATGGTTACCAGGGATGGGAGGAGAGGGGAGGGAAA